ATAAATGGTCTAGTCCCGCTTCATAACTGGGCTGACGATCTGCTGCTACTCTGTGCTGTACTCCACTCAATATTTATTTTTGGCTGAACTACACTGCTTGTAATGACTATATGCTGTCTTCTTATACACGTACCACCTAATAGGATTTTGTTTTATTTTGTGTATGTGTGAGTTAACTTTTGTTTTGTCCTCTAAACTGGCCATCCCATCCAACAGTACAATGAATGTCATTGTTTGTATTGCTGTCTCTTTTACTTTATTTTTATTGGAAAATAATAAACATATTATAAAAATTAAAAAAATATGCTGCCCTCTTTGTAGAAATAAACAGATGATCAGTCTAACACACACACGCATTAGGAAATGTGCACACACACAATCAGCCATGTCAAACTGGGATAGAATGAACAGTAGCACAATGTACCGACAGCATCAAGCCTAATGCGCTCTTAAGCACTGTATAATAATGTATTAACTCAACCAGATCTACAGTATATCTCCACATTATTATCTGACACAGCAGTGTGTGGGGTAGTACTGTAAAGGCGTCCCGTGCTTCCAAGCAGAAACAGTTTGGAAGAGTTTGTGCATATACAGTGAGGGAAAAAAGTATTTGATCCCCTGCTGATTTTGTACATTTGCCCACTGACAAAGAAATGATCAGTCTATAATTTTAATGGTACGTTTATTTGAGAGACAGAATAACAACAAATCCAGAAAAAAGCATGTCAAAAATGTTATAAATGTATTTGCATTTTAATGAGGGAAATAAGTATTTGACCCCTCTGCAAAACATGACTTAGTACTTGGTGGCAAAACCCTTGTTGGCAATCACAGAGGTCAGACGTTTCTTGTAGTTGGCCACCAGTTTTGCACACATCTCAGGAGGGATTTTGTCCCACTCCTCTTTGCAGATCTTCTCCAAGTCATTAAGGTTTCGAGGCTGACGTTTGGCAACTCAACCCTTCAGCTCCCTCCACAGATTCTCTATGGGATTAATGTCTGGAGACTAGGCCACTCCAGGACGTTAATGTGCTTTTTCTTGAGCCACTCCATGACCCATTTTCAATGCCCTGGCTGATGGAAGGAGGTTCTCACCCAAGATTTGACGGTACATGGCCCGTCCATCGTCCCTTTGATGCGGTGAAGCTGTCCTTTCCCCTTAGCAGAAAAACACCCCCAAAGCATAATGTTTCCACCTCCATGTTTGATGGTGGGGATGGTGTTCTTGGGGACATAGGCAGCATTCCTCCTCCTCCAACCACGGCGAGTTGAGTTGATGCCAAAGAGCTCGATTTTGGTCTCATCTGACCACAACACTTTTACCCAGTTCTCCTCTGAATCATTCAGATGTTCATTGGCAAACATCAGACGGGTATGTATATGTGCTTTCTTGAGCAGGGGGACCTTGCGGGCGCTGCAGGATTTCAGTCCTTCACGGCGTAATGTGTTACCAATTGTTTTCTTGGTGACTATGGTCCCATCTTCCTTGAGATCATTGACAAGATCCTCCCATGTAGTTCTGGGCTGATTCCTCACCGTTCTCATGATCATTGCAACTCCACGAGGTGAGATCTTGCATGGAGCCCCAGGCCGAGGGAGATCGACAGTTCTTTTGTGTTTCTTCCATTTGCGAATAATCGCACCAACTGTTGTCGCCTTCTCACCAAGCTGCTTGGCGATGGTCTTGTAGCCCATTCCAGCCTTGTGTAGGTCTACAATCTTGTCTCTGACATCCTTGGAGAGCTCTTTGGTCTTGGCCATGGTGGAGAGTTTGAAATCTGATTGACTGATTGCTTCTGTGGACAAGTGTCTTTTATGCAGGTAACAAGCTGAGATTAGGAGCACTTCCTTTAAGAGTGTGCTCCTAATCTCAGCTCGTTACCCACCAGCCGAACTGAAGCATGCTGACGCCTTAATACAGATTATTCACAGCTCACTGCACAAGTCTGCATAAACTGAGGACAGAAAAAGACTAAAGCTCTCATCTTCCTCAGTCACTGTCTGTGTTGGTGCCCAGAACAAGGACAAAAAGAAGGACTGGTGGCTAACAACTAAACATCGAGCCAGGACCCAATCCAAGTCTTCCTTGCACTCTTGCATGCACTCACTCACTCCACCAGATGGCTGCTATAGTCCCTGCCAAAGGCCGCCCTGCATTCATATTCACTTTTCTTTCAGGGAGAGGACTAATAGAGGTGGAGGAGAGGAAGATGGAGGGATAAAGGAGGAGAAGAGGGGGCATCAGCCAGGCATTGAGACATTATGTTTTCTGCGGTTTACGTAACAGGGTTAATCTCCCAGTTTAGTTTAATCTGGAATGAATAGGTTTATGTGAGAACTGACAGAATTTCATTAGCAGGTTTCTTCTCTGTCTCAACTATACAGTACGTTAAGCAACCGAGGGGAGACAATGTCTTATGTGACAGTTTCTGCCTCACTTAATAGAGGAGGGGAACTAGTATAGTGTAGTATTGTAACTCAACTAACCGTTCAAATATTGTTAATATAACACCATCCATGTTGGATTTCTATTTGTCATATATTTTTCAACTGTACTGTGATGTTTTACAAAAGTTCTGAACCTTTCTATTCTCATTGTTTCTACAGTTTGTGGATTGAAAATAAACATTTTGCTAAAAGTATTATTATATTATTGATCGATTGACTATTACTTTTCAGATCACCCAGTAGTGCTATCTGCAGGGTCAGCTCCATGCAAATATTGCAATCCTTCAGCCATTCCTGGACCTGTGTCCAGAAACAAGCTACAAATGGACAGTTCCAAAACAAATGATCTAATGATTCTGTCTCTTGACAGCCAAATCTGCAGAGCTGGGAAGATTGTATCCCCTATACAAATAACATTCTATTGGTAGCAAGAATTTTATATAATAATTTACATTGAAAAATTCTAAATTTTGAATCCGGCGTTGTTTTGCGTGTCAGTTCATAAACACTATGCCATGGAATCGGTACGTCAAAAATCTCTTCCCAACTAGTTTGCAATCTATATGGGACGGCTGTCAATCTTTTGGTCCTTAAATGAAACTGGTAAACTTTTTTATTTATCACAATTTTCTTTAACCAATTATGTTCTTTAATGCAAGGCCGACAGACAAGTTCCTTACTTTTTCCTCCTTCCACTTTCCTCTTCCATTTTTGCGGTAATGCTGCAATTATTTGGTTGTAATTTTGGGTAGAGCAGACATTTCCATATGTTTTTGTTAGCTGCATGTGCGACATAACTCCACCATTCCTACCGATAATATCATTTACGAAGATTATTATTTTATTTTATTTTTTTCTCAAAAAATAATGGTTTTTTTATCAATTAGTATATTTGAGTTTAACCACAATATTTGTTGCAATATTTGTTATATTATTTCTGGAGGATTAAATTGAAATTGCAACCAACTTTCTATGGCTTGTTTTAGAAATAGTGATATTTGGGAGATTATTTCCTTTTCAAACACCTGAAAGTGAGGGGTTGTAATCTGAATAAAGGGAAAAAGTCCCTTCTTGAACATTGGGTGAGACAATCTTACTAGTTTGCTAGAGAACCAGTTCGGATTTAAGTATCATTTTTGTATGACTGAAGCTTTTAGTGATAGGTCTAATGCTTTAATATTTAATAATTTCTGTCCTCCTAATTCATATTAATTATATAAATAGGCCCGTTTAATTTTGACTGGCTTGCCGTTCCAAATAAAATGGAAAAAAAATTTCTCATATAATTTTAAAAACTGTTCACTTGGCGTAGGCAAGACCATAAGCAAATAGGTAAACTGGGATAATACTAAAGAGTTAATCAGGGTGATTTTTCCACAAATTGACAGGTATTTACCTTTCCATGGTAGGAAGATCTTTTCTATTTTTGCTAACTTTCTATAAAACAAATTTGGAGTGAGATCATTTATTTCATTTGGGATATGTATTCAGAGTATATCCAACATCACCATCAGACCATTTTATTGGTAAACTACATGGTAATGTAAAAATTGTATTTTTTAGTGATCCAATACGTAATATAGTACATTTATCATAATTTGGTTGTAATCCAGAGAGGTTAGAAAATGTAATGAAATCTAGATCCTCTATGAGGCTGTGGAGGGATTCAAGTTGTGGATTTAAAAGAAAACATGAATCATCAGCGTACAATGACACCTTTGTTTTTAAGCCCTGGATTTCCAATCCCTTGATATTATTGTTGGATCTGATTTTAATAGCTAACATCTCGATGGCAATAATAAATAGATATGCCGATAGTGGACAACCTTGTTTCACTCCTCTTGACAGTTTAAAACTTTCTGAGAAATAGCCATTATTTACTATTTTACACCTAGGCTTACTATACATGATTTTAACCCAATTCATAAGAGATTGTCCAAAATTGAAATGTTCCAGGCATTTATATATAAACCCCAGTCGTACTTTATCAAATGCCTTTTCGAAGTCTCTAGTAGGCCTGGCTTCCCAGATTTGTCATAGTGTTCTATTGTTTCCAGTACTTGCCTTGTATTATCTCCAATGTATCGCCCATGTAAATGTCAGACAATACCTTTTTAATTCTATGCGCTATACATTTTTCCATTATCATGAATATGGTGGCGTTATTATTGTTTTGCATCCATGACGACAACAGTAATTGTTTGGTTCTTCCCCCTTTGTATCTTCCGTCTCAGTTCCTAAGGAATTACTGTAATTTTCTACATCCTACACGCTGTAATGGAGATGCATTAGACTTTTATTTATCTCATCCCTCACTCCCCTCTTTCTCATCCCCATGTACCTTCTTTGTTTAGCAAAAAGGATTAACTGCTTTAATTACATTGTGTGGGAAAAGAAAAGCCACCTCACATCAGGATATGAGCATCAGGCAGGGGATATGGTTGCTATGGTTACGGGATGGGAGAGGAAGGCGGGGGGGGGGGGGGGGGGAGGCGCACCTGAATTACAGAGGAGAATACTGGCACACACTCTCCAGTCATTAGGGCTAGCTATGTGGCTAATGCTAGAGAAAGGTATAGTGGACAGTGGATTGATGAGGATAGTGAGTGGGGAATAAACAGTAACAAGAGAACAGTGTTCCTGGTTTTGGGAATATAACTCACCAGTTTGAAGAGTTCTGTGACACTGATCTCGTCTGGGTCCACCATGCTGAACTCCCTGCGAGGTACCAGGTCCAAACTCAGCTGTCTGGAACACACACACACACACACACACACACACACACACACAGCACTGTCAGTGCATCAAACCATTTAGACAGGACACACTTGACAAAACTGCAAGTCTGCTATGTCTCACAGGGACATAGAGGAGTAGAGGGGTACCCACACACACTCTCCAATCTCCCAGGGATAGATCAGTCTTTCAAAGCATGGGATGGTATAAGACTAGGAGAGGCAGGGGGAGCCGTCTGTCGTCTGTCCACACCCAACAACAAGGGACTGACGGGTGTCGTTTTATCCCTTCTGCCCGGGAGATAGACACGCAGTGGAAAGTGTTTGTGTGTGTGTCTGTTTGATAGAAAATGAAAAGTGTGTGTGTGTGTATGTGTCTGTTTGAATGTGTGGTGTGTCTGTTTGAAGGAGAACGGAACTGATTGAGCACAGCATGTGCCTGGGGAGGGAGTGTGACATTCAAAGACAGGGACTGGGGACTGGGATGCAGGAATGTTTCTCTCTCGCCACTACTCACTCGTTTCCCCAGTCCAACCTGGCAGTGATGTGCTGTTTGACGTCTTTCATGCGGTCGTTGGTGAGGTGACCAACCAGAACCTGTCTCCTCAGGTCCAGGATCTCATTCATCACGTGCCACAACCGATGGAACAGATCCCCCTCATTCTTCTACAGAGAGAGAGAGAGCGAGAGACAGAGAGACATATCAGAGTAAAGAAAATGGGGCCAGACAGTCAGCCTTCCATAACAAATAATGCATCACAAATTCAGACTTTCTGTCTAACAAGCACAGGTAATTTATTAGGGACACAAACACAAGCAATGTTAATATGCAGAAAAAAGCTTCCACTGTTTGCTGCAGGGAAAACAGCTGAGGCAAAATGTATTGCCCACTAGTTGAAAGGTATTCCCTGTCTGCAATGGTTAATATTCAGGTCTATTCTCCACTCTGCAGGAGGTGTGGTGTACACATGGGAACATGCACGTACATGCGTGTGTGTGTGTGTGCATGCATGTGTGCGTGTGTATGTGTAAATTCATGCATGTCTGTGCGTATTCCTGCATGCATTCCTACATGTGTGTGTTGAACACTCTTTACCACGTAGAGCCGTTTCCACATGGCCCCCCAGTCTCTCAGGGTGGATGTCATCTCAGTGATAACAGAGTCCTCTGTGGGGATGACAGTCTCAAACTGCCTGTGTGTCAGAGAAAGAGAGAGGGACATCAAATTACTACAGTATACCTACCGAACATGGGTTAAAATACACTATCACACACACACACACACACACACACACACACACACACACACACAGATAACAATGCAGTATCATTATGAGAGGCTGGTAGAAGAAGCACTTAACCTCTGTTCTGTTATTATGACGTTAATCTGTTTATCTAACGTTTCCTTTCTACAGAAATGACATAAACCTCCCTCACCTTCCAGACTGGCTGATCTAATAAGGCTGTTTGCCTTCTCAGAGAAAGACACAGGGAAACACAAACAGACACACACACACACGCACACACACACTGAAACAGACACACACACACCCACCCACACACACACAATACACTCATTACTTACCCTTTGTTCTTGATATGGGCATTCTTCAAGTGAATGTAACTGCATGGGAAAATACCCTGGGGGGAGAGAATAAACAAACTAATGAATGTTGAATGTCATTCTAACTGTATCATTCAACAGTACTACCATTAACACATTATGTTAGCGAGTGTAAATGATGCATATAATCAATACAAATAAATGTACTTGTGTGTGTGTGAGCGTGTGTGTGCGTGTGTCAACTTGACATTATTAAACTATGAGCCTCTCCCTATTGACCTGCTTGCTGCACAGCCCTCAGATCAAAGCAGAGACCTGATATTTCTGAAACTGAAAATAGCAGCTGCACTGACAGCTTCAATTCACACAAAATAGTCTCTCACCCACCTTGACATTTGGATTCTTATGGACGAACCCCCTGTACCAGCCTGAGGAGACAAAAAAAAAAACATTTTCATCATGTCACCGTGACTTTCAGACCCACTATCTTTCCTTCTATCGAAGAGTCTGTGTGTGTGTGTGTGTCTACTGAATTAATAGATAGCATTCCTATTATGATTCTGAAGATTGGCTCTTCTGCGCTCTCAGTTAAAATGTCAACCACCAAATAATCAATTTCATTCCATCACTACAGCATCTGATATGGGAGTGGAGAGTAGGAGAGGAGAGAAAGAGCTGTCTGGTTAAGTAATGGCTGCCTCTCACTGCCAAACAAATGACTGGGGCTGTGTCTCAAATGGCACCCTACTCCCTGTATAGTGCACTAATTTTGAACAGAGCCCTATGGGATGCAGCCCGGGTTACTGAAGCATCGCCACTTCAGCTCCGACCACACCAGTCGTAGAGCTGTCGAGCTGTAAAACAAACACCCAGCTGGAACACTTTATCACGGGAGGCTGTATCTGTCACTGCACTGTTTACTGCAGCCTACCAGGCACGGTGTTACATGGCACTGAGCACCCAGTATTTGTTGTGGCCACCGGCCAGGCTGGTGAGCCAGGGGGTGTCAGTAGCACCAGGGGGTGTAAGTAGTACTAGTAACCTAAGGTCATAATGTGCTACTCGGTCCAGCACCTGTCTGTGACAGTGCTAAAGAGGTATGAGTGATAGAGACAAGGTGAGAATGAGTCTCACTGTGGTATTGCCTACTGAAGGACCTCTGCTTTTAGAAGTCTTCCTAGTTTTTGCTTGGCCAGAGTGTCAGAGAAGAAGCGGTCGTATGTTACCGATCACACTTCATTTGAGTGATCACACTACAGTAGCAACTTGATGACACAGTACCAGCAATGGCAGAAGCCCTTTTTTAGTAACTTCTCTCCTCTCTAGTACAGAATAGATAGACCTTCTTGTCAACACCCTGTCTTGCCTTTGGGTTGTGGAAACTGGTACAGATTTTATTTCTTCCCTCCATCCAAACCAACCACATACACTATATGACCAAAAGTATGTGGACATCTGCTCGTCGAACATCTCATTCCAAAATCATGGGCATTAATATGGAGTTTGTCCCCCCCTTTGCTGCTATAACAGCCTCCACTCTTCTGGGAAGGCTTTCCACTAGATGTTGAAACATTGCTGCGGGGACTTGCTTCCATTAAGCCACAAACGCATTAGTGAGGTTGGGCACTGATGTTGGGTGATTAGGCCTGGCTCGCAGTCGGCGTTCCAATTCATCCCAAAGGTGTTCGATGGGGTTGAGGTCAGGGCTCTGTGCAGGCCAGGTAAGTTCTTCCACACCGATCAACAAAACATTTCTGTATGGACCTCGCTTTGTGCACGAGGGCATTGTCATGCTGAAACAGGAAAGGGCCTTCCCCAAACTGTTGCCACAAAGTTGGAAGCACAGAATCGTCTAGAATGTCATTGTATGCGGCAGGGTTAAGATTTCCCTTCACTGGAACTAAGGGGCCTAGCCCGAACCATGAAAAACAGCCCCAGACCATTATTCCTCCTCCACCAAACCTTACAGTTGGCACTATGCATTGGGGCAGGTAGCATTCTCCAGGCATCCGCCAAACCCAGATTCATTCGTCGGACTGCCAGATGGCGAAGCGTGATTAATCACTCCAGAGAATGCGTTTCCACTGCTCCAGAGTCCAATGGCGGCGAGCTTTACACCCCTCCAGCCGACGCTTGGCAATGCGCATGGTGATCTTAGGCTTGTGTTTGTCTATGGAGATTGCATGGCTGTGTGCTCGATTTTATACACCTGTCAGCAACGGGTGTGGCTGAAATAGCCGAATTCATTTGAAGGGGTGTCCACATACTTTTGCATACATAGTATATATTAGATGTCAGATCATTTCCTTCAGTGAGTTTGGAATGCATCATCAGCTATCTCAGATGGATCTGTCAGTCTGTCTGTCCTTCAGCAACAAGAGGAAGTGAGATCATGCCGCCCTGAGAAGGGAGGAAGGTTGTGTCAATGCTGTGTAAGTTAGCTGGGTGGAAACAGGAAAGTGTGACGGGCGCCTGCTCTGCTCTGTCTGAAAAATGTTACCTGGAGTGTGAGTGCCTCGGCCTTAAGGCTCACACACTCCTTAGCAATACACAGGCAAGCAGGGACACACACACTGGCAAGCAAGCACACACACACACACTCCTTAGCATGTACACACACACACATGCAAGCAAGCACACACGCACAAGCTCTCAGTCTCTTTGTGTCTAAGGCAAGCAAACACACACACACACACACACACACACACACTCTCTCTCTCTCTGAGCTCAATGTGGGCGGGAAGCAGGAAGCGAAGTCTTCTCCCTCTCGCGGCACAGGAAACAGTAGCAAACTGAGAGCCTCCACAAACGTTTATCTCATCAAAAAGAAAAAAAACTACAAATGTCTATTAACATTTCATGTGCAACACAATACCCCTGGAGGGACGGACTGGGGAAGGAAACATGGCCCAACCTCAAAGGTTGACTACAGCCCCAGCAGCAGCAGCAGTCGCAGCCCATCTGTGAGTCACAGTGGCTATCTGTGAAGCTTGAAGGGGGGTTCATGGTTTATGTGGGTGTGAAATGAGTAGAGGTTATCAGTTACCTTCACATTTCTCCAGGAGCTGCACCGTGTCCCCAATCTCCAATGGCAAGCCATGCTGGACCGTCCCTCGGAAACTGGCCAGCACTGAAACACAATAGAAGACACCTACTTTAATACCTGTGTGTAGTTTTATGTTTGTAACTAGGTATCACACACCGACTCGACACACAGTCACAAAAAAGTCATAAATCACTCTCTTTTCATGTCACTAGAATTGAATCCGAGCACAACTGTCTTGACTTTGAGGTTGTGATGTGATTTGTTTCTAGTGTTCTCTGGGCATAGAGAAAGAGAGAAGTGAATAGCCTGCTGGCTGCTGGTAGATTGAGTAAGCCTAGAATGCTATTTGGCCCTAAACAGAGAGTACACAGTGGCAGAATACCTGACCACTGTGACTGACCCAAACTTAAGGAAAGCTTTGACTATGTAAGACTCAGTGAGCATAGCCTTGCTATTGAGAAAGGCTGCCGTAGGCAGACCTGGCTCTCAAGAGAAGACAGGCTGTGCACACTGCCCACAAAATGAGGTGAAAACTGAGCTGCACTTCCTAACCTCCTGCCAAATGTATGACCTTATTAGAGACACATATTTCCCTCAGATTACAGCGATCCACAAAGAATTCGAAAACAAACCCAATTTTGATAAACTCCCTTATCTACTGGGTGAAAAACCACAGTGTGCCATCACAGCTGCAATATTTGTGACCTGTTGCCACAAGAAAAGGGCAACCAGTGAAGAACAAACACCATTGTAAATACAACCCATATTTATGTTTATTTATTTTCCCATTTGTACTTTAACTATTTGCATATTGTTACAACACTGTATATATACATAATATGACATTTGAAATGTCTTTATTCTTTTGGAACTTATAAGTGTAATGTTTACTGTTAATATTTATTGTTTATTTCACTTTTGTTTACTATCTACTTCACTTGCTTTGGCAATGTTAACATACGTTTCCCATGCCAATAAAGCCCTTAAATTGAATTGAATTGAAAGAAAAAACGAGAGAGGGAGTGAACAAGCGAGCAAGAGAGAGAAAGAGAGAGTAACATCTCAGTCGATCAGCACAGAGCACTTTGCTCTAACAGCATCTAATAGCTGGGTTAGTAGTGAGGAGTGTCGACAGATGCCATTCACTGTGGTTCTGAGAAACAGGACATGATATCAGCACTCAGAGAATTATCCAAGCTGCCACACACTGACACACTCAGGGGTAAACACATCTAATAGGGTTTGTACTACGGCATGGAAATGAGGAAGACTCGAGTCAGGCAAGGGTTTTGGAGAGGGTTTCATTTCATGGGGCACAGGGCAATCTTGTGTAACTGACCTGGCTGCAAAGTCAGTGGAACTCAAATTGGGAGGTTCCGCTACATTAAATACAACTAACTTCAAACACACTTCACTTGCACCGTGCTAACTCTTGAACCACATGGTAAATCAAAGAATAACTGACAACACATCCAGACTGAACTCCTGGGGCACATCAAGACCCTGGGGAGAACGAAACCTAAATCTGTCCCTCTCCGAGGGAATGCCACATCAGTTCTACCAATTAAATCACAGCGTGGACAGTATCCTATCTGTGAAAACCTAGTGTAGTCCACACTGCATTTTCATATTTGGACTCAGTTCCCATGTTATCCTTAACTCAATCACAAAACACTTATTTGAAGCATTTGTTTCACGTGTTCAATTTGACTTTGTAATTAAAAGGGGGGTTAAACACACCAAGTCCAATGCATGAATTATACAAGTAGAGTTTTCCAGCTGCAGTGTACTAAAGGATGCAGCTTGAAGTAGAGTTTTGACAGAGCTGAATCACTTCCTGGTAATCCATTCCCCAGCTGTTGTCTGTCTGCTAACTGGCATGGATCTTTTCCAGAAATGTTGGCACTTGAAAGGTGTTCACTCAGCAGAGAATATAGTTTTTATTTCCTCTCCAGGGGAGTGGAGGAAGTGCCGCCTTAAAGGCAGGACAAACAGGACAGCGCACACACACACACACACACACACACACACACCCACCACAGTGTAATAAAAAGATGAACTGGGGCATAAAAAACAAATATAACAAAACCACAGATACACAGATATGAAATGTGTACATAAACACACACACACACAGCCGTGGTCTCATAGCCTCATAGTGGTGAACCTGTCACGCAGGGGCAGGGCCCCCATGTTTCCAGTCGGCTTGGTCTGAAGCAGGAGTTCAGTCACCACAAGCTGTGCTCTGCTCCGCTGTGACACACATCTACTCGTGGGCAAACGGCTGTTCCTATTTCTGACCAGGCAGCCTCGATCATGCTGCACTAACTTAGACATTACGTAAAGACTGCAGGAAACTGAAAAAAAGAGACACAGAGGAATTCAGGAACTGGGATAAAAGTCACAAACTGAAATAAAAGTCATGGACTGAACTATGACTGAGATCCATTAACTTATATTACACTATCTTCTTCAGACTTGAGATGTAATGACTTTTATGTCCAAACGGGAAGTAGGTAACTACGCTCCATTCCTGAGCCTAGGTAGAGACTTAGTTGCACTGACGTCCAGTAATCTACCCATGGGCTACGTGCGACTCCGTAAGGATCAGCCGCTCCTGAGTCTCTCACCTTGCCCTAATCCTACGGCAGTCCCCCAAAGCCAGAGAGAAGACTGACTGTGTAGTCAGTGTTCTGCCAAGGGTGGATTGGGAAAGGCAGGCAGATCAGTACAAAGAGTGTTTGTGTGAATTAGGCTTACATGTCCTTTAGGCTGCCATTTGGAGTCTAGGCCTGTCAAGTGATCCTACAGTTGGTTTGTCGGTCTCCCTCTAAGCTCCTTATAGAAACATGATGCAGACCACTGGTTCAAACAGGCTTTGGTGGGGTTTGTTATGTTGTGTTCAAAGGCACTGGGTTTCACAGGTTGTACTGAATTTATCAAGCAATTCCAGGTTTTCAACTAGCTAGGTATTACACAGACCTTGGTGTCATGTGTTCATACCATGCAAGATGTAAAAGGTAAGTAGCTACCGATTGAGTGTGGCAGGCATAACAACAACGTTTGAAAGGATATTAAAACAGTTGTGTTGCATGAACCAGACAGAATATTCAGAGAAGACAATGAAACATACATAGCAGGTTCTTAGTACAGAGAGTATCTGCCAAAATAACTAGAAAAACAACCTGCAGTCGACTGTGCAAATAGTGTTCAAAGGCTCCATAAAAGTGCTTTTAACAGCCGGCCTCACCCCCTTTCTCTCCGATTTGTGTTCCGACAACGAATCACACTCGTAATCCACTCCTCCGTCATCAATTACTCAACACATCATTAATATGCTAATTCATTGCCACAGACACGGGTGGTCCATTGACCCTGCTGCCAGAAATGAGCAAGCATGCATTTTGCATTATTCAGATGTGTTGTGGTTGGAGTCCTACTCCAATCCACACATACTGCAATCTAATGTAATGTAATCAGGTTAATAAATAATGGAGAGAACGGGACCGCACTTGAGTTGCAGGAAGTTGCAAAACAATTCATCAGCAGTAAGTGATATTCAAAATGGAAGGTGACATCCCTCGTTTTTCCCCTCCTCTTATCCATCCCTCCTCTCATTCCCTCTACTCCTTTTTCTATTCCTTCGCTATGTGCAAGGCTACGAGTTGAGGATGGTTAAGTCCTGCTTTATTTATACTCTGGCGCTCTGCAGAATTTACATCTCAAACCACAGCCATCTGCTTGGGTTTGACTTCATAACCATGAAACAGTTGCGTTTCATAATGGGAACTCGGCTGTCAGAGTTAGAATATCAAAATTATCTTTAGAATCAGTGATTTATTCAAAGTTCTCAACAGATCCTTAATGTTCTCTGGCATAGGGCTGGTAGTTGGTACAGGCATGCCATTGTGGCTTGGACATGGGTAGAGAAACAGCATTATTTCCGCCGTACATTATTATTATTTCTGCCAATCGGAAACAAAGACAGCATCTGTCTGTCCAAGTCTAAGACCGTCTTTATATTACTTTACTGTGCAATTTTCTGGACTCGACCATGGCCAAAATACTCTCTATTCTAGCTATGCAAATAAACATGACAGAGTAACCCAGAATTAACCATGTTGTTTGAATGGGTCCCAACCCATTATGTCCCAGTTCTAGGGAAACATTACAGTTGGACATTCTTTTCAATGTGTAGAACAGGCATGAGTCTTAAAATACCCACTCCTAACATACTTTTCCACTGTGTTATTGACACAAGGCAATGACTCAGCCCCTGTGGTTAAGTACACATGCCTACAACCCTCAGCCCCTCCAAACACACTAAGCAGCTTTGGGGCAGAGAAATGTATGTGTGTGCATGTGTGTGTGTATACGCGCACCACAGTCCAGTGAGACATGGGGCACGAAGCTTTGGGCCAAGCCTGGTCATCTGACAGAGTGCTCTAACACTGAGACAGGGATTAAAGAAATGTCGATGCGCTTCAGCTCTCTGCTCTCTCTCATAAAGGTGATTTCCTGGGGATGAGATTCAACCCTGGAAGAGGCCGCTATGCATTTTAAAGCAGGAGGACTCAACAGGGGCTGACAGCATGAGAGGAGGCAGCAGACGCCTGCCTCACAGCATAGAGTATATGCACACACACACACACACACCTGCCTCACAGCAAACAAACAAACACACGCCTGCCTCACAGCATCCAGACGATACGGCCGTGAAGCGAGAAGACCCACATTGCGCCACGCTGCATCCGCTCAGCTACAGAGATATATATAGGCTCTCTCTCTGTGTCTGCTAAAGAGAAGGAAAGACTGGCCAATGAAAGCTAGACTGGCGAAATCGCTCACGAGGAACGGCTTTCATTTCACCTTTTCCATTTCCAGTTGTCCTTTCGATGCCTTTGTATGTCGAGATAACAGTGATGAGCAGGCTCGGGGAAACAAGCGCTCGCTGGCAACAATAGCCTTCCCTCGAATCACAACGCTTCAAAATGAGCTTTCATAAAATATAAGTGTATAGCTTCTCTGAGGTGGCAAGGGCACGCACAGAATATAAAGGAATAAAATGTAATTACTACAAATAACTGTGAGCAAAAGAACATCATCCCGGGATCCATAATGTTAGATGAATACAAATATAAGCCATACAATAGGCTTACTCCTACAAATGTCAATGCAAGTAAATCATGCAAGACCTCACAAGTAGTAAGACAGAAATTCTGCTTGGTTGGTGCTTTGTTCACTCTGGTCTGAATGTATTCATAAAAGGCAAGATTATGAGCTTGAACGGTGCCCCGGAGAGCAGCGTGCTCTTAGAGAGGTGCTAATTGTGTGTGTGTGTGTGTTTGTGTACATGTGCATGCTAACGTGTGTGTGTGTGTGTGTGTCCAATACCTTTCAGCAGCATCCTGTGAGACCCTTCAGAACCCCTTCTCTTTCTGCTCATTAAAAGGGAAGTCTGAGAGGAACTGGGTGTTCTGCTGTGGCTGCTTTAGCATGCAGATCTCTCCTAGTGCTTGATTAGCACTAACTAAAGCCTATTGTAAAGAAAGAGCTCCCTTGGCTCTGAGAAACGCGTCTAGGCCTGAACGACATCGCATAAATCGCACTTTACGTAATGCACTGTCAGCCTAAAACATGAACAGGGTGTTTACTGCGTATGGTATGCCGCATCTTGACAAGGAAGATGACACACACACACACACACACACACACACACATACATACACGCACTCAATCTCTGCAATAAACCACATAGCCTGATTGTAATCAACAGAGTAGCGAGTGATTTATTCAGCTCATAAATGAAAAGAGTGAAAGTAAAAAACTAAACGGATTGTTTAACATCTGCATATCATCATGACAAACATAAACAGTAATGGCAGTGTAATATCTCATCTTTGTTGACCAGATCAGAGGTCCCATATTGCTGAAATAAAGCCATGAAAGCAGTGAAAACAGTGAAATGGTGACAGCCTGCTTAATGACTAGGGCAGGCAGAGGAAATCATACATGACTCAGATTAAAGGGGAATATAGGTCAGAGCGAGTCCAATGCAAAGCAATCCCACTTCACCTCATTCTCAGTCTCAGGCCTAATATGCCTGCCTACTGCCTCTCTCTGTGGACTGGCTGGGGTGTGGAGGGCTGTGTGTGTGTGTGTGTGTGTGGGGGGGGGGGGGGGGGGGTTAGGGTTCTCTGATATGTTATCATGAAGTTCACAGCATCCGAAACAGACAGACAGCAAAAGCTGAGCGGAATGCCTGTGTTCTCTCTCTCCCTCATTCACTTTGTATTTGTCTCCCGAGTGGCGCAGTGGTCTAAGGCACTGCATCGCAGTGCTAGCTGTGCCACTAGAGATCCTGGTTCGAATCCAGGCTCTGTCGTAGCCGGCCGCGACCGGGAGACCCATGGGGCGGCGCACAATTGGCCCAGCGTCGTCCAGGGTAGGGGAGGGAATGGCCGGCAGGGGATGTAGCTCAGTTGGTAGAGCATGGCGTTTGCAACGCCAGGGTTGTGGGTTCGATAAAATAATGTATGTGCTAACTGTAAGTCGCTCTGGATAAGAGCGTCTGCTAAATGACTAAAATGTAAATGTAAATGTAATTTTGACCCTGAAAAGTGATGGTGCGCTACTGTAGCTTTAAGAAGTACTGCATGTCAACGGCAAACTGAGAACACACAGATGCCTATGCCTCCTTACACCCAGCTGAGAGGAGAGGACAGAGGGAGGAGTGGAAGACGAGGATACAGAGGGACAGATGGAGAGGAGAGAAAAAAGGGATGGGTGAGGATAATGAGATGAGAAGAGAGAGAGAGAGAGAGAAAGAGAGAGGAAAAAGAGGCCTGGTATTCTCAGGTAAAGTTTCTTTGTGTGGGAGGGAGGGTAGAGGCAGTGTAGAGGTTATATGAAGCGTGCTGCATCAGACTGTCTTTGTTCACCACCTCCCTCCATCCCTCCCTCTGGGGAGAGGGGAGGAGTGAGTGACCACCTACTCCACCCGCACTTCAAGCTCTCCGAGTCAAATTACATCCATCACCTGCTCTTCCCACTGCACGTGTATGAACACACACACACACATTTGTGGGCGAACACACACATACATGCACACAGGATATCAAATGAGTGTAAATACCCAGCATTCAGAGAGGAAAACAAAACACATGTGTTCATGCAAGCTTACACCAGTATTCCGAGACAGACCACATAGACACCTGACCCTGAGCGCACACACACACACGTGTACAGCTGACACAAGTGAGCAAGGGGCCACTGACTGGGCATGTGATGAACTGCCCCCACTCTCCCCCCTCCCCCCTCTATCTTTCCCTAAGCCC